TGATTAAATTTCATTTGGACTTATCAGTAGATTTATCAATCAGTGGACTTATCAATATATGATTGTCTTTTCAAGTTTTTCTGCAGCTCATAACTTCGAAAGTTGTTATTCAGTAAAGAGAGTTTTTGTTTTTGGGTAAGATTTCAAGTGAATGTCTAAATAGACTTGGATTAGATTTTAACCAGCAAAGAATAGAAGTTTTATATGAGTGGAGTGTTGCTATTGCCAGAAGAAGGTATTGGTACGAAAAGGAGAATATACATAAAATTCAATAAATTAGTTATAGAAGATTAAAGAAAATTGTTTTTATAATAACTCAAAACATAATAATATTTATATATAAAAAAATAGTTTACATAAGTTTCTTTACAGAGACTATAATATAAAATGTAGATCTCCTATAAAAAAGTGAACTAAGCTAGTATTTTTCAATTTCGAACGTTTGCTCCACAAAGGCTAATTTGACTATTAATTTAAATTAAATTTAATTAAATTAATTTCATTTATTTAATTTAATTAATTTTGTTAAATTAATATCATTAATTTCGCTTAATTTAAAATTAGAATTTAACTGATAATGCTTATTTTGGAACAACTATAGATAGACTGTTCGTCCACTCACGACGTATGTTAGTAGGAATTTTTAAAAAAAAAACTGAAGTGCAAATAAACAACGCATTAGAGTAGACTAAGAATATAGTTGTGTTTTGCGATTTTTACTTGCCATATAGACTATATTAGTAAAAATATTAAAAATGTTTGATATTCTCCTAAGTAGAGCGTAACAAAAAAAATTGCAAAAGACTGGACTAACCAATCAATTATTACTATAAAAATCGTCATCATATGGAATTTTAAAATATCACCAAAGACCAATTATGGTGTTTGGTATTTTTTTTTTAAGAAAAATTAAAATTTAAAATTTATATGATTTTTAATTTACCCTCTAGTGCAAATGATAAGTCATCCTGTTTTCTTACCAATTCACTTGAAAATATTGGTAAGTAAAATATTTAAAAATGACTTTCTTTTTCGACATGTTGATAATTTATAGTAAAAATCCTTAAAAAATGATTTTGTCTTTTAAAGACTTTTACTTGCATTTCTCAATATCGGCAGTTGACGTTTTGCATCTGCACATAAAAGTATGTAAATTTTAGCGAGAGACTCATTAAGGCAAATATAAAAATTTCACTTTTTTAATTTTTAATTTCTTATTGAAAATATTGAAATTTTATATTTTCATTGACTCGTGAATTAATTGCAGATATCAATGTAAAAATGAAAACGCAGCAGACAATCTCTCGCATGCCTTAATGCAGCCAGCCAAATAATGTTGCTGATGTGTTGAAACATGTTGCTGGCAATTTTCGAAATTACATGTTTCTTCACAAATCATTTGGAAATTTTTATTGAATTTTAATTTTGGATTGTTTCGCTGCAGTAAAATTAGTTGCAGTGAAATATAATGCAACTTGTTTGTGATATTATCGGCATATTTGATGAATGCAACTTTTGTTTTGAGACGAAGCAGCGAACCTGGTTTTCAGGTTATCAAAACCAAAAGTTAATCGCGCCATGGCAATTAGTTTTGATATTTTTATTGGTTATTAAATTAGTTAAGGTAATTTCAGTTGGCAAGGCTGGCCAAGTTGGGTGCCGCTACATTTGTTAGGAGAGCTTGTGATTATCAATGGAAATGAAATTGTTTATGGTAAAATGAAAGTATACTCATATACTCGTATTGGGTTACCCAATCAAGCAAAATCCTTTTTAATTAAAAATTTTTAAATTACTAGCACATGGGTGGGCTGCTACTGAATACAAACCATAATTACAAAGTTGCAATAATGATTTATGAATTATAAATAACATTAAATAAATGAATTTTTTTTAAACATTTTTAATAATAAGGGGTCGATAACTGATAAGGAATTGCAGGAATCGTTTTAAGCTATTTAAAGACAATATTTTGCTTCAATATATTTCCAATCAGCGCTATTTGATCTTTTATAGTATATTAATCAGTTGCTTTTAACTTTGAAGTAAAATGTGATAAATTGAAAGCTGAGAAAACGTATGTTTACCACTAAAAAAAACTTAAATATAAACCAAATAGTCCAAGATTGATTGATGCATTTTAGAGTGTATCTACATGTATCAGCCAAAATAATTTATAAAGAATATGATAAGCAAGACGACTTAGTTTAAGTTGAATTGATATTAGTATATATGGTAAAAGAATTATTAATGACGGTACTGTCAGGCGATTAGGAAGTAGCCAACCACCCAGACAAATTTATCAGAAATACAAAAGCTTAAGCAGAGAAAAAGAAAATAACCAACATAATATACAAAGTGTGATATGATAAAATGAACGTAAATGGTGATGGTCCTAATATAATGATTCGTTTCAAATTTTTCAATAAAAGAAACTAAAAATCCCATTCAGTTTAGTCTGCAGTTTGAGAAGAGTGGTAAGAAATAATTCAACATTTCCTATGCAAATGCCCAAGCCCTTCAACATTAAGATATTTCTTTATTGAAGTTAATAAACTAATTTACTAGGTGGACACTACAACTATAGGATTTACAAAAAATCTTCTTTATCAACCAATTAAGATGCTTTAAATCGAA